CGTACAGTATTTGTATAACAGAAGAGTTGTACAAAGGAATGCAAGCTAGTATAGACAGTGCAAACCCATGATAAGTTCTTGTATTTGTGTAAATCTATAGAACCAATAAAGATAAAAACTCGTTTAGTAAGACCCGAATAAGAAGGTAGCAGAAGCCTAGTATAACTTACAGACTGGAGTCCTGATTGTAGTAGCTATGTGAACCTTATAAAAGTATTAAAAACTAGATTAGCCATTAATAGTAGGGGAAATAGAAGGCTCTAGTAGGTTTATCCCGAGAATAAAATTGTTCTAAGATAGTTATGAATATTAGTTTGAGGTTATATATATAGAAATATATATACAGTTGATGTGGGACTGATACTGTAAAAAGTAACCTGTTAAACATAAATAAAATACTGACCAAAGAGGTTACCTTAAGACCGAAAAAAAAAAAAAAAAAAAAGTTGTAAAGCAGATTGTTATGATTCTAATAGGGCTAAAGCAAAATCAGTTTACTAGATCATGAGATATGTATAAAAATATCCTTAAAACGTATATAAAAATCTTTATAAATATATATTTTAAAGACATTTTTATGCATATCTCATGATCTAGCAGACCAATTTTGATGCTTTAACTACCATTAGAATCGTAACAAACTGCTTTACAACTTTAATTAGAACTAGAGAATAGATTTACTTAGTAAAAAAATAACTTATATTGACCAATTTGATCATAATCAAAGTGGTCAAATTGGTTAAATTGGTCAAATTAATAAAAGTTATTTTTTTACTAAGTAAACATATTCTCTTGAGATATTTATAAAAATGTCTTTAAAACATATAAAAATTTTTATAAAGATTTTTATATATGTTTTAAAGACATTTTTATGCATATCTCATGATCTAGTAGACCAATTTTGATGTTTTAACCACTATTAGAATCATAACAATCTGCTCTACAACTTTAATTAGAACCAGAGAATAGGTTTACTTAATAAAAATTTATATAATTTAATTCTTTAATCTGATTGGTTAAATCAATTGACCAATTTGACCAGACCAATTTGACCAAAAACCATTTGACCATTAACTAGCAAATTTTTAATTAACCAACAATTTGACCAACTCTGTTTATAAGAATATTTTATTTGTCAATACTGTCTGTACATAAAATTTTTTTAATTTCAATTAGCTAATCACATAACTTGCATCATAAAAATAATTAAACATGTATTGCAAAAGATATAAATGTTCTAAAATAAAAAAAATAAATGATTTATTATTTTTTTCAAGTATTGTTTTACATAGATTCACAAATACATATGTATAACTAATACCAAAAAAATTATTCAATCTTCAAATTGTATAAAACCGTAATTAAACTTAATTATTCCTAAAGTGAATATATATACTCGAGTAGTAAGAGTATCTATTTTACAGATATTAATTTTTGGATCAAAAAATTCTATGACCATCGCTTGGGCAATGTAAATGCACGCAACATAAATATCACAAAGAAGTTAAGATATAACGCGTTATACCGAGAAAATACACCACACTTTTGCAGTCGATTAAAGTAAGAAATATAAAAGATTCAACGAATTAGTATATAACACAATTTCTCACCATTGTTATCCATTCGTAAATCTAACTACCATCACACTTAAATTATCAGTACTGAAATTTTGTAATGCATGTTTAATCAATTTTGTGCTCGCTTCCTGTGGATCCATAATATCTTTAATGAGATCCACAGCTTCCTGGTCATTACAAACATCCCATAGCTGAAAAAGAATATATAATAATATAAATACTAATAAATACAAGGAAAAAAATCAAAACTAAAAACAAAAACTTACACCATCGCATGCAAGTATCAAAAATGGATCCTTTTCTGTCAGAGTTGTTTCTGTGGTGTAGGGTTTACCTATAACAAAATCTTTCATTGAATAATCACCAAGTGAACGTGTCACGGCCAATACACCTATCAAATGAAATGAAGAGACATGAAATATTTCAAGG